AAGATTTATTTCTCTTCACCTTCTCTGAATTTGTATTTTGTTTAATAAACATTCTGAAACTTAATCATATATGGCTTTTCTTGCTCTCTCTCTCTCCTTCTCAAAACAAGAATGACCTAGAGCAGTGGTCGTCAAACTCATTAGTCAACAGAGCCAAATATCAACAGTACAACGATTGAAATTTCTTTTGAGAACCAAATTTTTTAAGTTTTTTAAAACTTAAACTATATAGGTAGGTACATTGTTATTAACTTAATTAGGGGACTCCTAAGCTGGCCTTTGCTAAAAATGTCCCCAATCTGATTGAGGTATGTTTGCTGAGGTGGACCCCTCTAACTCTCCATCCACACTCGTCTTGTATACTTGTTTCGTCTATCTCCTTTCCGAAAACCGACTTCTGCGCATGGGCCATGAAGTTTCAATGGCACTGTACGTTCGTGCCCGCACATGGTATTTTGTGGAAGAGCCACACTCAAGGGGCCAAAGAGCTGCATGTGGCTCGCGAGCCGCGGTTTGCCGACCACTGACCTAGAGTACTTCGCTGTAAGAAAGATCACTTTGGGCTCCAGCGGATAAGAATAGCCTAGTCCTGGCCATCTATTTCTCACTGGTTAGAGCATAGGCCCACGCCGAAGGGTCTCAGGTTCCAATCCCTGTTCAAGGGCATGCATCTGGGTTGCAGGTGTGATCCCTGGCCCGTGTGGAAGGCAACCAATCGATGTGTCTCTTTCACATCAATGTTTCTCTCACTCTTGCTCTCGTGCTCGCTCTCCCTTTTTCCCTCCCTCCTTTCCTCCCTCTCTAAAAATCAGTGGGAAAAATATCCTCCGGCAAGGATTAATGACAAACAACAAAAGAACAACAAAAAAGAGTAGCCAAAAGGTGATTTTGATTTGCTCTTAATAGGACAGAAATGTTGCCAGTGCATTAGAAAGTTATATAAATATAGTCAGGACAATTGGATGGCCACTGGTAGAAGTAATGTTTAATTGAATTGTATACTGTGGTTTGTTAATGCATAAAAATTTTAAATGTCATTTAAAGTAGACATTTGAATCATTTGAGCTAATCCTTTGTTTACTTACAGTCTTCTTTCTAAGGTTTTAATTAATGCAGATGTGTAAGACCTGATGAAAGACTGGATTTGCATAAAAGTTGTTAGATACTATTGTGGGAATAATCACTGATGACATTGTGGAAATTGTTGAGTAACTTTTGCAGTACTTAATCTTCTTTCTTATTAGCTCATAACCCTTAACTCTGGAAAAATCTGTCTCAATCCATTCTAATTGGTCTTGGAGATTTAAACCCCTTCTCTTCTCACACCACAACAAAATAACCAAAAATGTTGGCCTACACCTATATTTACTTTAACCTACCTCTGAGCCATGAAATAAATACAAGCTCCACCATGTCAAAACGGATAGAGTTTAAGCAGGTCTCTCAGGACACACTGTTGACTTTTGACATTGCAATCTCCTGAGTAGCTTTAGTATTTTCTGAGATCAATCAAAGCTACACAGATACCCGATCATAATTCTGGAGCTTCACTTTAGTTTTTCATAATTTCTTGTTGTTTAGAGCATCATCACTTCCATCCTGCCTCTTAATGTACACTGAATTCTTTTTGTTTTTAAATATGTTTTTGTTTGTTAGTTTTGTTAATCCTCACCTGAGGATGTTTTCCATTGACTTTTTTTAAAAAGAGTGAAAGGGAGGAAGAGAAACAGAAAGAGAGAAACATTCATATGAAAGAGATACATTGATTGGTTGCCTCCTGCACATGCCCAGGGATCAAGCCTGCAATTGAGGTGCATGCCATTGACTGGAATCAAACCCTTGACCCTTCAGTCTCTGGGCCCATGCTTTATCCACTGAACCAAACTGGCTAGGGATTACGTATGTTTTTTATTGATTTTTTTAGAGAGAGAGAGGAAAGGAGAGGGAGAGAAAAATATGGATGTGAGAAACATCAATTGTCTGCCTTCTGCATGCCCCCTACCTGCTGGCTATTAAGCCTGAAATCCTGACAGGAATAGAACCAGCAACTTTTGGTGCATGGGATGAAACTCAACCATCTGAGCCACACTAGCCAGAGTGTCCACTGAATTCTTATAGCAAAAATAAAATACCTATGCATATACATAAGATTGGAAAACACACACACACACACCCCCACACCCACCCCCCCCCCACACACACACAGACACCCACACCCACACACCCCCACACACACACACACACCCCAAATACTTAAAAGACTCACATTATAATCTAATGGAGAATATAATATAATGGGGAAAAATGAATTCTCATATGCTACTGTTGGCTATACAAATGGGTATAGCTACTAGTATATCAGAGAGCAATTTGTCAATATATAGTCAAGGTAAAAATGCATATATCAAAAAATTCCAGCAATTTCACTTCTAGGAACAGAACCAAAAGGAAATGTGCACAGTTTCATTGCAATGTCTTTGCTGTAGATAAACTATTAAAACTATGTAAATGTTCATTAGCTGGGGAAAATTGAATAAGTAAATGATGGAATAGTCAGTATTTTGTGCAGCAAATAAACTATATCTTCATGTATTAGCATGAATACACAATAAACATGGGAAACAAAAAAGCAGGTTTCAGACTAATATATACAGCATGATTCAAAATATGTAAAATCTGAAAAATATGGCAAAAAATTTAAATGGTAGGTATGTTATTTTATTATTTTCTCAAAATTTTCAATTTTTGAATATATTCAATAATCAAAAAGAAAAAGGAAAGTATCAATTGCATACCTAATTTTCTATGTGGATTTCTATATACAGTGTTCAATTTTCTTATTTAACTATTGATTTATTACAATGTTTGAGTAATTTTTAGAAAAAAATGATATACTAATAAAATACCTTACTATATTTAGATTCCCCAAAAACTAAATAGAAATTGAAGAAGCTGGGGAAAATGAAATGGAGAATGCCCCGACCCGTGGGGCATGCAACGTGGGTACCGTGACGATTCCTGTAAGGGAATGAGAGGATAGGAGACGCGAAGAAATGGAGGCAAGACAGGATTCTGATCAAGCCTCAAATTTTATTCTTACAGCGGCAGAATATATATTGTTTTAGGGAGGGGGGTGGGGGTGGAGAAGCCTATTAGCTTATCAGCAGGGTTGTAGCAGGCTCCGGTTGTGGCGGTAGTTGCTTCAGGGTATGAGATAATTATCTTTAGCTGCTGACCAAACCTCAGGACATACGTGGTTTCTGGTAACTAGGAGTTTCCAGAACTTAATGGCCTTGACGTGGTTACTACCAGAAACTTATTGTTCTTAAGATGGCTTTGTCTAGGCCGGTTTCTCCGATGGCTCCCAACAGGAGAAGGCATAATCTTAAAGAATGGGAATGATTTAGGAATTTACATGACATAGAAGGATGTTGCTGAAGAGACCTGACAACAGTTATTGAGGAACAAATTAGTATGGCAAATTTGTGGGACAGAGAAAAAACTGCTTGGGATAAACATGTTGGGAAATAAGTTTAAAAATAGTGCTGAATATATAAGATAGTTAGCTTATAAAGGGAGATAAAAATTAGAAACTGTAATATGATTTGGGATAAGAAAATTTCATAACTAAAGAAACATTTAAGGAATTATTCTGGCAATATTACTCTGTAGTTAATTGTTGAGAGGAGGTCATAGCATTCCAGGTATAAAGGCATGGATTATGGTATTTATCCACAGTTGGGATTTCAGGGTCTTGAGATACAAATATTCCTCATTTGACTGAATACAGTCAGATTGCACTGGCCTCCTTCCTATGGCACTAGCACTTGCTTATAATCTAATTTGAGAACATCTAAAGGTTTTCAAGAGTTATTCTCGTGTTGTGGGGAAGGAAATGAGAGCCAGCAATAATTGCTAGCATGAATTTAGGGGTTGAATTCTATGACTTGATTATTATTTTTTAAAATATATTTTTATTGATTTCAGAGATGAAGGGAGAAGGATAGAGAGATAGAAACATCAGTGATGACAGAGAATCATTGATTGACTGCCTCCTGCATGCCCTCTCACTGGGGATCGAGCCGGCAAACCAGGCATGTGGCCTGACCGGGAATTGAACCCTGACCTTCTGATTCATAGGTCAATGCTCCTCCACTGAGCCAGGCTGGCTGGGCTGATTATTTCTTAAACTAGATGCCTGATGCATGAAGATTCGTGCAAGAATAGGCCTTCTTTCCCCTGGCTGTCAGCACCGGTTTCCCTCCAGCGCCCAGGACCTGGGCCTTCGCTCTGGCCACTGCATCCCACCTTCTTTGCTCCCAGGGCCAGGAGTTGCCATCTTTGTTGTGTTAATTTGCATATCCCCTCCTTATTGGCTGTAGGCGCTGCCATCTTTGTTGTGAAATGATGATCAATTTGCATATTCTGTCTTTATTAGATAGGATATGTTTGATAAGGCTTATGGACAATTCACCATTGATTGAATATTCCTAGATGCTGAAAGTTGGTTGCTTGTCTGAGGGGTAGTGAGGAGGACACTGCAACACTTGAATTTCCTTTCTAAATTTAATAAGTACATACAGGTATTTGGAGAAAATGATAAATAATCTGTACTCCCAATATACTACAGATTTAACTTTGTTTTCAAATAGACTTATTTTAAGTATCCATCTGTATAGGAAATAGATAAAGATCCTGCCCCTCCAAAAGTCAGTTATACAATAGAACTCTTAGGACAAAATAAATTAAATTATGTTGAAATTTAGTAAAATGAAAATTTCAGAAATTTTATACTTCACAAGTTATGTATGTTATTTCCTGAATAAAAAACATCTTGTTTCCTTATTTACAGTTTATTTATCCAGTCTAATATACATATTTAGTCATAAAGACTGTCTTTCTTCTATTATAAAAACATCCATTCATTTTTAGAAATTTATGAAATGCTCACTATATAATCTCTACTGTTCTAGGTGCTGGGAATTCAGTGATGTATACAGAATAAGACAGTGCCTGTCTATACATATCAATTTATATTAATATATACATACCCACAGAAATAAACTATATGTAAAGAAATAGATATTTACAATGAGTTTTATTTAGTCCACAAAACTATAACAAATTTACATAACAATGAGTCAGTCATGCATAAAAATCTAAAAATATTATAGAAGAAAAAACAAAAGTTTTTGTCTTAAGTGAACATCAGCATTCTTCTATATTATTTTTATTCCCCAGGTGATTCTGAGGTAGATGAGGCCCTGGAGTCATTTCAGGTATCTTCAGCAAAAACAAAAGGCATATCCAGTAGAAATTGGTGAATATATATTCAATAATTTCTATAATTGTAATCATACTGGCTCCACAAAATAGGCCCAGTTGGCCACCAACATCTGCTGTAATAAAACCAATAAATTGAACCAGTCATATTTTATTTTTAATAAAAAGGAAATTAAGCATCACTAGAATTTAAATTTTTGAGGCTAATAAATTAATCATAATTATTATTGATATCTGAAGATGAGTTAATTGTATTATTTTAAGTTTGGTATAAATAAAGTCATAGCAATTAATAGTATCTTAAAATAATATTCATATAAATCTCTTCAGAATGGGGAGAGGAAGAGCAAACATAAAACCTGTATCCAAAATATAACTCAAAGACTTTGTAGGATATTAATACAAACATAAAATATTCTTGACAATTACAAATTTATTTCCATGCATTGAATGAAGAGCAGAAATGGGACATTCAGAAGGCATTATTGAGCAATGATGTTTTCCATCTACATAAATTTCTACACAATTTGTGACTTCAAGTATCCAAATTATTTTTTTAAGCATTTATAATACTTATTTACACTAAAATATATTAACACAGCACTGCCATTTTCTTAAAAAAAATTGTAAATCCATGTTTGTCTTTATTGAATGTGCTTTTTTATTGTGATAAAATCTACATTTTAATAGCATAAATTTTATTATTTTAACCACTTTTAAGTGTACAGTTCTATGGCACTAAGTACATTCACATTGTTGTGCCACCATCATCACCATCCATCCCCAGAACTTTTTTATCCGCTCAACTGAAACTCTGTACCCCTAAACAATAAATTCTTCATCCCACTTTTTGTCTCTATGAATTTGACTTCTCTTTCCTTTTCAAATAAATTACGCCCCGGGGCCATTCTTAGGCTCATGCAACGTTGGTAAAGTGTGATAATGAAGTAAGTGTAGGCTCGCCCAGGAGCTTTAAGGAATTTCCTCCCTACTCAGGGTCTCAGCTGCCAGTGACTGCCTGCTGTCATTTGACCTGACTCCCATTCCCTCTTTTTCCTCTTGCTGACTTCCCTCTAATATGCAGTAAGATCTAGGAAATCAGCAATTCCTTTTGTTAAGGACTGTATGAAGAAGGAGAGTGAGCGCACAGTGGTTAAATGCTAAATTTTGCCAGCTCGGGATCTTCTTTCCAACTCACTCTGGGTAGAGTTCTATTTGGAGGTGTGAGCTGCCAGACATTCTACCCTGATATTGGATGCTGAACACTACAGTAGTCGCTTGCTGAGGAGGGGGTGGGGAAGTCTGAAGGGAAAGAAAGATGCCCTGTGTGACTGAGATAATGAACACCAGCCTTTTCTTTGTGAAAGCCCTGGTGAAGTTTGCAGGGGGTGTGTCCTGGGAGTGGAAAAGTTTCTGGTTTAAATGGTAGGTGAGTGACAAGCACTACTGATTTTTCTTCCATTGATAAGCTAAACCTTAAATACAAAAGAAAAAAAATACTGATCGAAAAATTTTCTTTTAAAACTGAGGAGCAATTAAATAACACTTACCAAGTAATTCAGATACACTCACTGCTTTTTGCTGCTGAGTTATCTTATAATTTAGGTCACTATAGTTTATTTCAATGTTTACAAGATTCTCCCTGGGGATACAAACAGAGTTAAGTTAGCTCAAGATTGTCAACACTAATGTTCATTCCTATTTGACAAAAGGAATAACCTTTTTGGTTCAGATGCTATTTAATGTGAAATTAGACACACCATCATTGTGAAACAGGAATTTTAGGGGGATATAGGCAGGCTTAGGGAATTTTTAGAATTGGGGTCCAGGAAAAACACAGAGAGAAGGTACATCTCCTAACACAAGGAAGCCAGGTGCAGGGAGCAGCAACAGTTGCATTTACATAAGACACGGGAGCTGGAAGTAGCCAAAAAGGTTTATATTTACAAAATAAAGAAGGAAGAAAGCCAGAAAGAAAAGAACAATGAGGGAGGAGGGCATCACCTGTCCCATGTGGTGTTTGACCTTTGAGCTCAGGAGTTACTATAGTAACCAGTCTAAGGGAATAGTGATCAATCACAGGGGATATTAAGGCATCAGGATCTGCAGCCTTTATAAGCCATTGGGAAAAAAGAACTCAGTGGGACCCCTCCCCACCTGGGAGTCCATTCTGTGGGACCCTTTCCCCCTCCCCATGCGGGAATCTGTACTTGTTCTTCAATAAATCTACACTTTTGCTGTACCACCCTCTGTCTGTGGATTCATTCTTCTACTCCGGCGGACAAAGAATCCAGGTTCCAGTCCAAAAAGTCCATTTCAATTGCATTTAATACTAATCATAATACCTTCATTTAGAGACCAGTCTTGTCATGCTTGGTACTTAAGGGAAGCATTTTTCCCCAGACCCAATAGTTTTTTTATGCTTCATTCCCGAGAAACTGGAAAAATAAATGTAAACATCTGCCAAGTACATTCGAGTATTTATCAACATTTAAGTGTGTGTCTAATTTTAATTTAAATTTTTGTTCTGTCCTATGTTACTTATGTGATCCTAGAGAAATTGCATGGTTTTCCTGAGTCTTGGTTTCCTCATCTGTGGCCAAGATTTTAGGTTCAGAATTTTGGCGAAGAGAAATTAAATAATGTAGTAAAGAACTGACATATATTGGATATAGAGTAAACAGTAGTCATTTATTTTATATCACTAATATGTTAAAATCCTCAGAGACTGTGGATATTTTTTTTAGTGTAATAAATGGATACTAATTTGAAGTCAGTTTTGAGAAAGACAAATACCCATATAATCTCACTCATATGTGGAATCTAAAGAACAATATAAATGAACAAACAAAGCAAGAACAGACTCATAGATACAGAGAACAGACTGATAGTTGCCAGAGGGTAGAGGGTTTGGGGGACCAAATGAAAAGGTGAAAAAATTAAGAAGTACAAATTGGTAGTTACAAAATAGTCACTGGGATATAAAGTACAGCATAGGGAATATAGTCAATAATATTCTAATGATGATGTATGGTGCCAGGTAGGTACTGGAAATATCAGGGGAAACATTTTGCAAGTGTATGATTGTCTAACCACTGTGCTATACACCTGAAACTAATACAACATAACATTGAATGTAAACTGTCATTTAAAAATAAATAAATAAAATTTTATATGTGACCAAATTATCTAAACACTATTTTAAAATATCATTTTATGTAGTCTTAGATACTCTCACACTCTCAATCTCCAGACAAGACTTCTATCTTGAACTTCAATATGTCCAGCTACCTCTTAGTATTTCTATGTGGATGTTCAATTGGTGTTTTATGTTCAATGTATTTCAAGTCAAACCCTTGATTTTTCCCCATTTATAATTTAACTAGAGGACTGGTGCACAAAATTCGTGCATGGGAAGGGTGTCCCTCAGCCCAGCCTGCACCCTCTCCAATCTGGAACCCTTAGGGGATGTCTGACTGCGGTTTAGGCCCAATCCCACAGGGGTCGGTCCTAAACCGGCAGTCGGGCATCCCTCTCACAATCCAGGACTGCTGGCTCCTAACTGCTTGCCTGCCTGATTGTCCCCTAATCTCTCCCCTGCTGGCCTGATTGACATCTAACTGCTCCCCTGCTGGCCCAATTGTCCCCAACTGCCCTCCCCTGCAGGCCTGGTTGTCCACAACTTCCCTCCCCTGCCAGCCTGGTCGCCCCCAACTGCTCCCCTCCTGCTGGCCTGATCCCCTCCAACTGCCCTCCCCTGCCGGCCTGATGGCCCACAACTGCCCTCCCCTGCTGGCCATCTTGTGGTGGCCATCTTGTGCTGGCCATCTTGTGATGATGTCATGTGCAAGGGCCACCTAGGCTTTTATTAGTATAGATAACACTGCAAACCAATCCAACAGTAAATTTATTTTACCTTTTACATATATTCAGAATCCAACCACCTCTTGCTCTGCTTCCTGCCATACCAACCTCCATTCTATTCTATCCATACACAAGCATGCTGTTGGCTTAGAATTTTTTCCTCTGCATTTGGTTTTCCCTCCTTCCAGAATGTTCTTCCTTCATAGAATGTCAAAATTAGCTCACCCTGGCCAGTGTGGCTCAGTTGGTTAGGCATTACCGGAGCTCTGAAAGGTCAAAGGTTCAATTTCTGGTCAGGGCACATGCCCAGATGGCAGGCTTGATCCCCAATAGGGGGCATGTAGGAAGCAGCCAATCAATGTTGTGCTCTCACATCAATATTTCTGTCTCTCTCTAAAAAAAAAAACCTTAAAAAAAAAGAGACTAGCTTTTGTATCTCCTTGAGGTCAGCAGTTTTCAAAGTCTGGTCACAGACCCATAAGGGTCCCCAATATCTTTTTTGGGGCTTCATGAGGCCAAAATTATTTTCATACTATGTTAACATATTATTTGACATTTTCACTCTATTTCAAGAGAACTACAGTAGCCAGTTTATACATGAAACATCATTTTTATTTTAAAAAATTACTGACACACTATAACTATTTAGACTATGATATTTCATGGGATTTTCACAAAAATGAACAAAATGAACCTGTCCCTTTAGGAAAAATAATTAAGAAGATCTGCAGGCAATAATAAGTTTTAAGCTTTACTTTTATGCTAAAGTTAAAATTTTGAAAAAATTATGTCTGCTATGATGAGCTTGAAAACCCTCAAATTTTTAAAGATTTTTTCTGATGAAATAAGTAATAACATTAAAATGAAATGTATATTATATAATCAAATAAATCAATATTTGGAATATCTGCATAACCCAGAGAATTTTCCTAATGACCAATAAGTGATCTTCAAAATCATGCATGGGTTAAAAATATCAGCTCAAAGATGCAAGGTATACAATCGATAGATAGTAATATCATTGATTATGAAAAATTCATTGATATGTTTTGATATTACACTGCTGATAGCTTTCAAATGTCACCATTCCCATTCCCTCTTCTAATTATTTGTAGAAAGCCCATGCACTCCTTCCATTGGCACCTGGGAAGGTTAAACCACATAAGCCCTGGCCCACTTTTGGTATCTCATCCAAGTCCTACCTCCTAACCACAATGAAAGGCAAAGTCAGTCTTTTTATAAACGCAAAGGGACTTGAGACCAAGAAGTTTGAGAAGCACTGCTTTGCTCAACTGTTACTTTCCCAGGAAGATCTTATTTGATCACAATCCTCAACCCTAAGAACAATCTTTCCTGACTCTGGCTTTCCAAGCCCCCTTTGCTGCTTCCTTTTCCTCCACAGCACAGCATCATCTGAGATGACTATTTGTATTTATTGTCCATCTCCACCTCAACGGAAATAAATGCAACAAGGTGGGGATTTTGTCTTTTGTACATAGGGTATCCCTAATATCTAGAACACCCCTAACTCCTGACACTTTACAGGTGTTCATTAAGTGGACAAATAAGGAGACAAATTAAAAAAGAAACCAAATGAATGGATAAATATTAACCTGTCTGTCTTATAAGATAAGGTGGAAACCAACCACCTGGTGATTATCAGTTGGCAATAATAATTGTCATTAAGAATGGATTCTATTAGTGTTGTTTCCTAGGATTATATGGTGTTCTTTAATATATCTAAGAAAGATAACTATAAATCACTCTCCTATTGTTTACAGTTTTAGAAATCAATGTTCACAAATATACTTAATTCAAAATATATCACTAATATGTTTACTTAATTTCCATTGGTTTAGCCCTGGGTAACTGGACAATGCACTATGTTTACATCAATAATCACAGATATTGTAATATTTACAAATAATAAAATAATTTTCAAATTGAAGGAAATAGTAAAGTTGTCTTGGAAGTCTAGAAATTTTAGCAATATTGCAATCGTTTTGTCCTCCATTGTGCTCCTAATTTGCATGTACACTGATAATAATGTTTAATTTCCCAAGCACAACACTTGTAACCATTTCCAAACATTATTCATTCTGTGCTTTGGGAGAAGATAAATTCATTCCCTTGAAAAATATTGTGATATTTACTCAACTTCACTCAGGTAGGTGAGTTGTCCAGTAATTTGATTCTCATTGAACTTATGTCGCATGATGATCATATCTTTGTTTGGGGTTTAAGTCTAGGAATATTTGTTTATGTCAGTAGATGCATGATTAAAAAATAAAATCTAGATTTTAATAAGAATGAGGATATCAAAGAAAATTTAAGGATTTCTATTTATAAAGCACTAAAGAAATGCTTCCAGGTATTTAAGTATGAGTACTGTAATAAGGGGAATAAAATGGTTTTGAACAAAGCAAACTATTTTATACAATATTTCCTTAAAAATTTGTTAAATTAAAACAGAAAAATTTACAAAGTTCACTTGTTTCACTAAGAGAATTGGCCTAAATTCAGCCATAATATACCCTTATATTCACTTCCACACTTCAGTCAGGATAAGCTTTTTATTATCTTCTCAATTGGCTTCATCAACTGCCACAGGAGGCCCTGGATCGGTCCAAGGCTGGGATTGGTTTTTGCCCCAAGAAGAAGCTTTTGCAGGGTTCATGATTAAGTCAGGGCTTGCTATTTTTCTTCTTCTTCTTCTTCTTCTTCTTCTTCTTCTTCTTCTTCTTCTTCTTCTTTTTTTTGTAATTTTGCTGCTAAGGTTTCACATCTGCTCTCCTAACAAACTGCATTTCTGTTTTCTGATGTATTACTCTGATTCCTGGTACCTATTCACAAATCAATTTCTTTTATATGTGTGACTTCTAACCACCAACTCTAGAATTTGGATACCCAAGTTCAGCTGCATTTGTTCAGCTACTTGCCTTAGTCTTCACGGTAATGGCTTCTGATATTCACAACAATGTAAGGTCCTTACATGTCAATTATGTGATTCAGATTAATTGTAGAACTACTTGTAACCAAGGGGAGCAGAATATGCCACCCTCAAATATGCCATTTCAGCATATTGATTACTTCGAATTAAAGTTACTTAAGAAGGGAGCCAGTGCAAGAGAACATTCTGACCTTTATTTGACCCCTTGAAAGCAAAAATCAATGTCTCATATGAAAGCTGCCCTCCCTGTAACAGGAGGGTAAAAGGCATCCTTATCAGAGATAGGGAATTTAGGGCAAGAAGATGGTGTAAACAAACCTGTTACTTCTTCACTAATAGTACTCCAAGTTTAAACCCCCTTGTCCTGTCAATTTTCACAAATGTATTATTTCTTTGCCTAACAATTATAGAAGCTGCCTGCATTGGTCATTCTTTGAGTCTTATATTTTCATGGGCACCCAAGTGCATAAAATTAAATTATTTTTTCTCATTTTAATCTGTGTTATGTCAATTTAAAGTTAGACTAGCCAAATAACCTAGAAGGGAAGGAGAAAGGTTTTTTTTCTCCTACAACAATAATGTAAGTTTTAGAAAAAACAAAACATGCCCTGTAGGATCATCTTGTTAATTCATGGACTTCTTTTCTGATTCACCAATGTGTCTCCAAAATCATGCCTACATTTTTTGTATATTAAATAATTTTGAAACTCAGGAGATCTCTATCAGCCCACAGTCATACAAAGTGCTCTTCTCAGTCATATTTAAGTGTATAAGGGGAATAATACTCTGAGTAAATCAGTTTCCCATATTAAAATGGAATAGAGACATCAGTAGGAGACAGAAGTACTAAGAATATAGTTGCAAATTTCTAGCTATTCATTTATTTCTCTGCTAAATGTTTGACGTCATACCTTGTCAACCTTGTCTTGATGAAAATACTTTTTCTGCCTGACTTGCAAAGATCACTTTATTATCTAGGCATTTCCATGGGTAGAGCTTTTCTTATTAGTGAAGTTAAAACTAGAATTTAAGAATGCTTTCAAAGTTTGGTACTTGGCTGTGCAAGAGTAAATCAGCTCTTAAATAGTTAATATGTTTTTATTATAAAAATGTAAATATAAATACCAATGACCTATATTGCCATTTCAGGTCATCTGTTTATAAATATAAACAAAAACAGAGACAAATGTTAAGGTTGCTTCCGATTTTAAAAAAGAGAGTTCTTTATAAACTTTGACTTGTAAATTCTAAGTGACAACATGGGGTAGTGGAAATAGAACTAATTTAATCCTCAGTTAAATAAAATTGGAATTCTATATCTCTGTGGAAAAATATATAGAGACTACAGCCATGGGTCTTGGACATACTTTCTTCCTGGACCACTGAGAGAAATTTCTTTCAGAGGACAGTTACCTGAAATACAGTGCTTCAGTTTCCTCATCGATAAGAATAATGATTTGCACTCAATATACTTTATATAGTTATTAGAACACTCAAACTATATAATATACAGGTAAAGGATTTCCATATCTTGAAGTATTAACTAATATGATTAACGGATATGAAAGCATTATTATTTTTGCAAGTTGGGCCAATAATGGTAAGGTCATGAGCAAATTAGTCAAGCAGGCCTCATTTTACTTTTCATGCAATTAAATGAAGGAATTGAAATTCTAGTGTGTCATTGTTAATTCAGTAATGGAAGCCATTGCCTCTGATTGATCAGAATTTCACTCCCAGAGTCTTTGAAAGTTATGAAAAGACAATATTCATGTTCATAACAAATCTTTACAAGACTAAAAGATTACCTGATGTATTTTTGGCTTTGGTTCAACTTCTTGGAAAGATGTTTTAAAGCTTTTCGACTTGGAAAAGTGGAATAAGAAATAGTAGCAGGATATTCTGTTTCTTCACAAGGAACAGGGCAGCTAGAATTATGTGTCCCCATTGTACATAATCCCTTCACTTCGATGTGATCTGAAATGAAAATCAAGACAAGACATTCAGAAAAGAGGACTATTTCACAGTGGAAAGGACAGAGCTTTAAAATTTTTTTTTTATCATTTTACTGTTAATGCTTAAAAAAATGGTTTACAAGTCCTATCACTACTTTCTTTTTTGTTGTTAATCCTTACCTGAAGATATTTGTCCATTGATTTTTAGAGAGAGTGGGAGGGGGAGCGACAAAGAGAGAGAAACACTGCTGTGAGAAAGACACATCAATTGGTTGCCCTCTGCACCCCCAACCAGGACCAGGGATAAAGCCTGCAACCTAGGTACGTGCCCTTGACTGTAATCAAACTCAGGACCCTTAAGTCTGTGGGCCAATGCCCTCTCCACTGAGCCAAACTGGCTAGGGCTTTCTTCTTTCTTAACAAAAGCTATTTATATTTTATTTATTTTTTAGTACAAATAAAGCAAAGGACACAAAATATAAAACATAGGAGTTATTACCTTTGAGTTAATTGAATGACTAAATTATTTTCATAAAATATCAGATATCTGGACAGGAGAAAAATATAAAAGGTGTTGCTGTCACCTTGTGTCACTGTTAGAGGAACTTTCCAATGTAATCCTACAAATCTGGTTAAAACTAAAATTATCCTTGGGCTTGTCACAGCTTTTGTGAAATATGCTGCCAGGTATTGAGACTCTTATTTCTGTGGACACAGTAACTTCTGAATCAGCCACTGAGGTTCTCCGCCCTCTGGCCTCTCTTGGCCCCTATAGAGCATCTGGTCTATCCAGGCATGTGTACTGGACAAAGCCCCCGCAGGAAGTGGTGGGTACTTGTCTTCAGCTTTCTTTTGGACAACCTCCCAGTGCCCAATCTCACTGCTACTCACTCTTGGTAGCTATTCCAGTTGTTGTTTTTCATGTGGTTTTGTTATTGAAACTCTCATTTTTTTTTTTTTTTTAAAGAATGCTTTGTTCCCAAGACCCCTTGATTAATGACCAACTTTTGGCTTGTTTTCCAGACTCTAACTTTGATATTCCTTTATGGTATGCTTTCATTTGCATCGTTTATTTTTTTAAGAATACTTGTAATAACCACCACTCTTTCTCTATAGTCACACAAATACATGCAATCTCTCTCTCTCTCTTCTCTCTCTCTCTCCCCTGATATTGTCCCATTATTAGCCCACAGAACTGCATGCATGATTTGTTGCCCCAAGTTTTCCCTCCAGCTTTTACCAGGGATAGGATGTCACAAGAAATTAGGCAACTTAACTTCAACTCCATTGGTCAGGAATATGACTTCTGCATATTCAGTTTTTAAGGTAATTTTAAAAATATATAAGGTCCCTTCTACCCATACCCATTCCATGAAATATTTTACAACCATTAAAAAGAACATGCTAAATCTATTCCTGTTGTTCTGGATATGTTTTTCCACAATGGATTAGAAAAGCAAGTTACATACACAGAAGAGTATGTAACGTGATTTCATTTTAATAAAACAATCAATGACTTAAAGACATCAATATGAAGCTATATATGTGAAGAAAATTATGGTGGAATATACTAGAGTCTTAACATTGGTTGGGGGTTAAGATAAGAAATATGTAAGCAAAATTTTTGCTGATTAATGAGAAATTGTCCTCAATAAACATCACATGTATGGTTGTGATTACATTTAGATAAAAATTTAATCCATGCATTTATATATAATGTATATGTAATGAAATCAATAAATGAAAGGATGCTCACCTAAATTATGATGATGATTTTCAGAGTGATGCAACTTCTACTAATATTGACATGATTTTTTTCTATTCTATAATGTTTGAACTAGTCACAACAAGCATGCTTTCTTTATTTCATGAGAAAAAACAAATTTATTTTGATTATAAGGAAGTATAAGATGTAAAAACATGCAAATTTAGAAATAACAATCAGAATCATCTTACTGTTATATTGTCACTGCATCTCTAATTCAGATGTGTCTTGAAATCAGAGGTTTTTTGTTTTGTTTTACTATGTCTGTGTAAGCTAGTGACGTTCATTTTAAGACCCTTAAGAGCTCCCTCTCATAGTCTCCCTTTTGTTTCACTTATGGACTATTAATAGTATAATTTAAAGTTTTGTGTTACTACGTAAAACTTTTATAGAAATAATGAAAATGAGAGAATATACTAAGCCACTTACCAAGTGTAGGAGAAACGCAGTTGTAAAACTTTTGTAGGTCACACTCTATCCCTTTTCCTTAAAAAGAATAAATATAAATATAGAGACTTTATACTTTATGCAATAAATGACATAACAAAAATAACTTTTTTCCATCCATCTATCCATCAATCTATCCATCTGTCTATACCATTATAAAATGAGTTAAATGAGTAATAATTTTAAAATTGCTTTCACATTTATCATTTCATTTTTTCCAACTCTCCTCCTGTGGTGTCAGAGTCCTGCTCTTATCCACCCTGCTCTTCTGCCTCGTTCAATGCTTTCCTCAGATATCCATGGCTGTGGAAATGTTTCCAATTGTGTGCAGAGGAAGCATGGAGTTTCTTTTCTAGCTACAAAGGTTTCCCAGAGTGAAATATTCAGTGTCAGTATACAAATGATCTAATTTTTCTTTGAAATTGAGAAAACTGCAATGAGCAATTTTAGATGTATGAGAGCAGCCAATTTTATATTTTGAAAATAAGAATTGGCTACTGTCCCTGATAATGTCTTTTCTTTTCTTTCTTTTCTTTTCTTTTCTTTTCTTTTCTTTTCTTTTCTTTTCTTTTCTTTTCTTTTCTTTTCTTTTCTTTTCTTTTCTCTTCTTTTCTTTTCTTTCTTTCTTTTCCTTCTGTGATTCTTTGAGTTAAAAATCTATCCTTTGAGGTTGTATTTATCAAGTGGATGACTTTCCAGCACAGCATTTTACAAGAATGGAAAGCAATTTTATGACATGTTGATGTCTCATGTTTCAAATTAAGTAATAAAATCAAATAAGGGAAAATTTTACCGGGAAGAAGAAAAGGTAAACATCCACATTGCTTTTCTATGTGCCGTGCTTGGCATTCCTTTAAGCAACCAGAAGTGCTGTAGGTACTAAAAGTCTGCAGCTTGATGTTAGGGTTGCATTCTCCCCATGGGTATTCTTGGTGAACTGTCTTGAGATAAAATAAATACCTGGTTCAGGAGATTTTCCTGAGCCAGTCCACCCCTTGGTACCCCAACAAGAAAGACTGATATACATTTTTTACTTTTACTTTTTTCCTTGTTATTACATTTATTGGGGTGACACTGGTTAACAAAATCTTTTATTTTTCTTTTATACCTTTTTGATTTTTTTTAGTTGACTACATTAGCCAATTTTGCCTACTCTATTAACATGAAAAAATATCTGAAGGTAAGTATAATAGTGGTCCTTTAACAGTATCCCAAATGCTCTGTACCTTAATAAAACCAGATTCAGACAGTCTGATTGCTCTAAACATTGAGTCACATAAAAATATTATCATTTATGGAAAGTATATGTTAGCATATTCATCAGCTCACCCACAAAACAGCAACCAAAATCACACCACCAAATTTTTTTTATTGAGCACCTATTTTGTACCAGGCAATATGGCATGTGCTTAATTAATGTGATTCCACTTAAACTTCATACTAACTGTGAAAAGGAAATGTTATTCACACACACTCCCCCAGTGTACAGAGAGGAGAAGGAAATTCAGGGAGTTGATATAAGAAGCTACAGAGCAAGTATCTGGCAAATGGAAACCTGGCAGACATGTCTGACTCCAACATTTCTGCTTTTCCCACTTATTTCTCTCCTTCACAGAACATCCCATTGAGAAAGTGCACCGTTCAGCAACTTAGGTGTCTCTCATACTTCCTGAGCCTTCCATCTCTAATGCGATTGAAAGTTATCTTGCATTTGCTAGGCTTGCTAGCTTCCACTTACATTGTAAATGTGAATTCACTGTTTTTCCTATGTGTGTCTACTAGTAAAGTATTTGAAATGAAACTGGAATTTCCTGGGGTGTTCTAATGTCATGGAAGAAAGGGTTTTTTAGTGAGAAATGTTGTTTATGCGTATATGTATTCACTACCCCTTTAATTCCCTCATATTATACATTTTGCCAATATTTACCTTCACTTGGCGGATGGTTACCCGTGCGTGCATGCCCACAGGTGATGACAAACCTAACCCGTCAAACTGTGGCACCTTCTTTGGTGAATGGATGACAAAGATGATTCCAGCATCAACAAAATCAAGAGTGGGGTCATCAGTGAATTCCTCCTGAAACAAAAATATACCCTCTCCCCAATTACAAATTGACATTAATTCTTTACAAGTTTGAGATTTAGTTTTAACATGACAGAATTTGATTTACTTAAAATAAAATATTTCTGATCAGTCCTTAATCTCTTTGTAAGCTATGAAAATTAAACACCTAACACATCCTTTCTAGGGTTGAATCACATTTTAAGGCTTCGACAGTTTTGCTTGGATCACTTTTACCTAAGATGAAGGCTATAGACATATTTTAATCACCTACTTTCTGGCTCTCTCTTCACCCAGTGGCCTTTTATTTGCTTTATCTTTGGCTGTTCTCTTTGTTTCATTTGTTTTAGAAAATTATTTGGCATTCTTCTTTTCTTTGTAAATGAAATCTCTGGCTTTATTTAAAATTCAAATTAATTTTCCTGTAAGAGTGAAGACATACACTTTCTCTAACCCCCGTGCTCTTCTTTTATCAACCTTATATCAGATAAATAAATTTAAGACTATACTTCTGGGGATTTGGCTATTAGTTTCAGGCTACAAGGAGAAGGAATGGACTTAGGAATATAATGATTTTTATTGTGAATGCGTCAACTGTATTATGGAATTACATTTAATAACCATGCCTAATATTCCATTTATAACTCAGAACCCCATTTCTCTGTGGCCTGCTATAACACTGTATGAAACACTTAACTGGCTCATATGAAGAAGTATTTCAGTGTCATTTACTTATGGAATGTTGTATTGAATATTCAGATTATAGTTGCATTTTAAAGTAGTTAGGAAATTCTAGCTTGTAAAATTTGTAATACAGAGTTTGAAATGACCATATGCTTTACAGCTGAGTGACTTGAAAATATTAATCAGATAGATATACAAGCATGGGTTCATGCATTGAACTGTACAGTACTGTGTTTAAACATAAAAAATGGGATACAAGAGGAAGTTATCCTATATAATAAAAGACTAATATGCAAATCAACTGAACAGCGGAATGACCAGTCACTATGATTGTGCACTGACCACCAGGGGGCAGACACTCAATGCAGGAGCTGCTCCCTGGTGGTCAGTGAACTCCACAGGGCGAGTGCCACTCAGCCAGAAGCCCTGAGCGCAGCAGCAGTAGCAGGAGCCTCTCCCGCCTCCAGGGCAGCACTAAGGATGTCCGGCAGTTGGACATCCCTCTCGCTCCTTACTTCCTGCCTGCTCGCTGCTCCTTAGCACTGCCATGGAGGCAGGAGAGCTTCCGCCACTGCCGCTGTGCTTGCCAGCCATGAGCCCGGCTTCTGGCTGAGCGGTGCTCCTCCTGTGGGAGCACACTGACCACCAGGGAGCAGCTCCTGCATTGAGTGTCTGCCTCCTGGTGGTCAGTGCACATCATAGCGACCAGTCATCTGGTGGTTCTGCTGTAAAGGTTGCTTAGGCTTTTATGAAGGCTTTAGACATATTTTAATTATCTACTTTCTGGCTCTCTCTTCACCCAGTGGCCTTTTATTTGCTTTATCTTTGGCTGTTCTCTTTGTTTCATTTGTTTTAGAAAATTATTTGGCATTCTTCTTCTCTTTGTAAATAAAATCTCTGGCTTTATTTAAAATTCAAATTAATTTTCCTGTAAGAGTGAAGACATACGCTTTCTATTTTATTATATAGATTAGTTGAGCAAGACGGCAGGTGAGGAATTAATCTTGGGTGAGAGCTCTATCCGGAACTCTCAAAGGTGGCACCACTTCATTTCCCAGGTGTCTGGGCATTAAAACCTAAGTAATGAGAACTGTTTAGACAATTTACACATTTATGGAAATTAGGCTTAGTCAAGGTCCACTTATACAATTTTCTTTATATAAAAATTATTTTTATCACCTTTACAGGTCATAGATGCAATGCTTTGTGAAATATCTGTATATGGCTTCCCTCTAAAACACATTGCCTTATTTACATGTAAATCTAAAATTTATTTTTTAAATGCCCAGCATCATCTTACATTAACCATAAATCACGAGTTAGAATTGTTTGGTTTTCTTATTTTGTGGTACAACCATTTTCTGGAGTCACAGTAATGGTAGTCAGTGATATAGCTACAAGTGTCCAGGTTATTGCCTCTAAAGTTTGTCTTTTAATCTCCAACTCAATAGTTGCATCCATAGGACTCTAAACTAAATTAACAAAAAATAAAATAATATCCAACTTGTAGGAACAGTTTGACAGGGTGAAATATTTTGATCAAATCTTTAAAAAACCCATGCTTATTATTATTAGTCTTAAGCTCTGGCTCGGGTTAAAAAAATGCAATACCTGATTGACATTGAAGAGCAAGCTTAACCCTCTTCCAGAGACACTCACTTTTTCCCTTGCTTCGATATTTTCGCCATGATTGAAAGTAAAACAATTTCCGTATTCAGTGAAGACATGTGCGAAATCCTCCAATATGAAAATGAACCAAATAAAACAAAATCAGCTGGTCAAATAAAGGTATGTTGGTCATTTCTAAACTTCAAATTGCTATAAAGTTTTGTTTTTTTCTTACATCACAGGTGTCTGAATGAGCATACAGAAATATCAAGAAGAATAGATAGTCTAATTATTTATATTCAATGAGAGTTTTCATTTTTTTGGATACGTACTAGTCAATGTGTATGTGACTCATTGAGACATTTTCATATGCAATTTAGCATAGTTTAAAAAACATTTAAAAGTCATTTGTTTTATATTTGCTAAGGATTCATGGAAACATATATTTTTCTTATGGAGAACTCCCTCAGCATCCTTTTTATACAGCCACCCTTCCCTCCTCCCCCCGCTACCGTGCAGGGTCCTAGTGGGCCAGCCATCAGCTTGGCTCCTTTGATCCTCCTCCTCCAACCACCTCCACTATGGAGAATGCATGTGATACAAGCAGGGCCAATCTTAATACTTGTATCAGAGATTGTTTTGTATCAGAGATTGTTTCAATAATTGACATGTGTCCTAAGTATAGCTAATTAGAATCTCCCATGGGATTTGTAAGTGGATACAGGAGTGGGCAGCATAGGCAACTATTTTAATATGGTGCTAGAGTTGTCAGCAGCCTTCTTGGCTCTGTGTGAGGAGGACTTCTGTAGAAAGAAGCCAACTGGAGTCATGAGATGGAAATTGAAACAGCATATTAATGATAGTCTCAGAGTCCTTTGGCTGAGCTCCTACTTAACTCAATTCATTCTTTTTACTCTTAAGCTTATCAGAGTTGGGTTCCTGTAATTTGTACCTGAAAATGTCTACTACAAAATTCCTTGGTGATACTTTTAAATATGTCTGTAAATAAAAAGCAATATGGAAGAGCTTCTACTCTAAATTAAGAGTTTAGAGCAGGGCTTCATCTCTGTCAGATGTCTCTCAGGCACTTCTTTCTGTTTACTGTGGGCGAAGGAAGGCTACCAAAAAGATAAGAAATTGTGTCTTAGGATCATGAATTTGTCAATCATCTAGGAACACATACTACAGAATGACTGATACAGGAACTAAGGGGTCAAATTCCCTATATACTTTGCTTGCAGATTCCAGATATGTCAACAATTTTATCTTAAATGTAAGAAAATAAAAACAAGATGTTATGAGTAATTAGAGAAATATAAATAATTTTTATGGTCAAATACTGGGCCCATCTCATTTTCTATAACCTCTGATATAATACCACATGCATAAAAACAGTATATTCTTGCTTAATGGTAATAAAAATGCTACATTGGAACATATTGTTCACTGATGAATGGGGAAATTAAAATACCACCTTATGTTAAATTTGTGTTTCTTTTGGAAGGACTATTATCCTGCAACAAAGGCAGCCAAAGATTTATGTTCTCTACCTTTTCTTATCTAATTACTTAAAAAAGGAAATATGTCTCTTACATAACTCTACCCTCTGACATCATAAGGCTGAGCTAAGGAAACATAATCGTTAAGCAAATTTAGATTGTCCATGGGAATAAACTTTATCTCAATGTGAAACAGTCCGGTAAAGTAGCTTATTATATTGATGATATTCAAAGAAACAAATCATTACCTGTGAGCCACATGGCTTTCCAAAAAAGTCACATTTCAACAAAGTGCTGTTGTTGAGATAAAAGCCATTTTTCCTGACAAACTCTGCAATGCTGAAGTTTTGTTGACTTGCAAGAAAATCAATAGCCTCTTTAAAACCAGTAGAATTGGCACGGATTTCCTGGAGATGGAGGACTTTGGATACAATATTCCATAAGAAAAAAATAACACCAAATTTGGCTACAGCTTCAGTTTGGAACCTATCAGTAGGAATACAGGTATTATTTAGAATAATGAAAACTTGTTTTTATCTAGAGGACAGAGCCCACACATCTAGATCATACCAGATTCTCCTGCTTCTCTCCTACATTTCCCCTCATTCATGATACATTCAAGCAAAATTAGACTCCTAAGAGGTCTTTATCACATCCTGTAATTTACCTTGTGTTTGTACATACAGTTTCATTTACCTAGAATACCTTCCAGACCTTGATATGGATACACCCTGATGGATCCTCAAGACTCAACATAAAGGGAGAGGTAGAAATGGGGAGCTGATAGAAATATAGACTTTGGAGCCAGATCTCCTTTGCCATTGTGGTGGCTTTGTACTGTGTTTGCATGGCTATGTTGAAACTGCAACATACCCTTCCTTCTGTGTATCTGGTTACAACCTGAAGCTCATTGTTGGGCAGAAGTTACGGTTCCTCACTCTCACTGGGTTCATGGTCTGACTCCACTTGTGGCATGGGACAGTAGCCAGGAGGACCCTTCCTCCAACTCCTGCCCAATCTCCTCTTTCAGTTTCTTCAGATCCTGGGTCAGTGAGAGGACAATCTAGAAAATGTGCCAACTTATCCTGCAGGTCACCTTGAAGATGGGTGGTAGTGAAAAAGAGAGACACACATCTCCAGCTTCTGTTCATGCCCTTTACTTCATATCTATCTGTCTTTCTGGCTGCTGACCTTGCTGACTTCAGGCCCAGCCCCTGTGATTCAGTGGGGGCTCAATCCCTATAGTAAAACCCTTATTTTATGTCACTCAAGCTGGTTCTGTTTCTGTCATGGATCCTGGTTGTTAGAGCCACTTACTAGTATGACTTAGCAAATTCCATCTCACTGTGACTGTTTTCTCACTTCTAAAGTTGGTGTATGTTATTATCACCTATCTCAGAATGTTATTTCTATGATTGAATTATCTTTCCTAAACTATTGAGAAGAATGCCTGAAATGTAGTGAGTGCTAGGTAAATATTCATTATATAAATGCTTCATTATTGTCAAAGTGTTTTCCTGGCAATCAAAGCAGAAGTAACATATTTGATCTTACTACTCTAAGTAATTTGCAAGTCTCTTATGTTGTTGAGCAATTTCTGCCTTGCATTATGTACTGTTCTTTATTTGCATACCTTACATGCTTTTCAAATATGATTAATATTTCGATACAATAAATCTTGAAACTGAACCAACTTTCTTTAAATTGACTCCTAGAAAACATGGAATGAAATGTGTGATCCACTCTTGATAAGTGTAAGGGGCCGTGTGGCTTGCATATAACCTCACTCCTGGGCTCTCTTTATGTCCCAGGTTTTATATTTTATTTTCACTTCCCTTTATGTTATTTTTATGCATTTCTTTTCTCTCTTATACAAGCCACATTAAACCCTGTCTCAGTTAAAGTAGGGCATACACAAAACAAAAATTGGGGAAAAAAATCTCAGACAAATATCATACAGTCTTTTAGAGATAAGAAACTGCTTTCATGAGCAGTCTCTAATATAACACCTTACTTAACCAGCTTTGAGTTTTGCAAGGACTGTCTTAAAACCAGAAGCCTAAGCCTTGGCCAGTGTGGCTCAGTTGGTTGTGCCTCAGCCCATGCATTGCAAGGCCGCGAGTTTGACTCCCGGGCAGGGCACATACCCGGGATTTGGGGCTCTATCCCCAGTAGAGGGTGTGCAGGAGACAGACAATTGGTGTTTTGCTCTCACATCGATGTTTCTTTTCCCCTCTCCCTTTGTCTCTCTCGGATCAATTTTAAAAAACCCTCACATATTTATTTTACAAACCTCAAAACAAAAAACCCAGCAGCTCAGATTCTAAAACCTTATACCTATCCTCTTCTGACTTTGTCTTTTTTTTGAAATACGTTTTTATTGATTTCAGGGAGGAAGGGAAAGAGGGAGAGTGAGAAAGAATCATTGATCGACTGCCTCCTTTAGGCCCCACACTGGGGGTCAAGCCTGCAATCTGGGCATGTGCCCGACCGGGAATCAAACCTTGACCTCCTGGTTCATAGGTCGATGCTCAACCATTGAGCATGGCAGCCTGGCTAACTGCCTTTCTTTAGCGACGCTCTCAAGCCTCCATCTTAGGGATAGTCTAACTAACTACAGTATATCTGGCAACCTTGCTTTTCATTTCAGAAGTGTTTCTGCTGACCTTTTGAGGCATTAAGTTTACATTAGCAACAGATTTGGGGTTGAAGAACAGTGTGAGCCCTAAATTGAGTAATGGGCCTTTAATTTGCTTCAGCTTTCTAACTTTGAATGACTCACAGGATCTGCTCCAAAGTTCTGTGACTTTGGAGTCCCACACAGGCTGAGTCAATACTGCCTCACACAATGTTCTCTGGATGCTTTTTAGGATGATTATGCAGAGAAATGAAGGAATTTCCACACATGTAGGAGGTATGACTACAATAGATTAAAAGGTTCAAGGGGAGGGGGGTGCATTTAAAAATATTAATAGTTAGGATCATGAGGGTAATTTAGGTAGATGGATCAACCTTAATGAATAAAATCTAACAATATTTGGAACAAAAGAAGTAAAAAGCTTCGTAAGGCATATTCTTCAGCATAAGACCAAAATCTGTTGCTGAATTTATTTTCAACTTCATTTCAAACTTCAAAATTCTTTCAAAAATATTCTTTTAAAAATCTTGCTTAGTTATAGTTTACCTGACTCTTGTATTTAACATACTGGTAAGAAACTAGTAATAGAAATAATAATAAAAGTACATTGGTTTGTTTGAACAATTTAAACTGACAACCAATTACTAAAGAAGTCCTTCTTATGTATATTAATATCTCTAACTACACTTCCCCAAATTATGTGACCCAAATGAATGTTTTATCTGGTGTCCAAGTTGATGCCTAATTCAGTCCTTCATTGAGCCTCCCTAAAACAAATCTAAATCTACCATGTATTAGCAGGAAGTTAATATTTTATAAATCATTTTGTGAAGATGAAAAATGTACAAGAATGTCTTCTTTTTGAGCTCTCCTATTAATTAATTTTAACACATTAGAGTTCTCTAATTAATAAAATCTTTGACATGCATTCATTTCATATTTGTATGAAAGTCATGATTTTGGTTTTTATGTAAAATGCTTTAACACAATTTTTTGCATTTAAACCGAGATTTGGAATAAAGAAGTACAGTTATTATTGTAAAGATGAAGAAACAGAACTTGAGTTACTTGTTTATTTGTGTGTGTTTTTTTAATCTTTTGAGTTACTTGTTTAAAAACAATGGACAAAGTAACTTCACTATTTACTACATCTAAGCATGTTCTCTTATATTTATAAAAGAAAACTAGTTTTAGCAGTTATTTTTAGCAAATATAATGGAAATGTATGACACATTTTATGGTCAACACAGAGACATTTGAAAATCACTCCAAGTGCTAAATTTTTCTTTTCTTTCAGTTTTATTTTGAATTGGCATTTTTGTATTACGTTTATTAATTTTAACATTTTATTGGCATTAAAACAAGTAGTTCATTATTATCACTTGTTTATTTTCATGATTGTTACTGGAAATGATTTTGTCGTATAGAGTAGTCGTATTAAAAACGATCCACTCTGAGCTTAATGTACGCTGGATAGGTCCCTGGTCCCATGGCAAATATTCAGAAGTCTCTTGGCAAAGTTCCCTCGCCTCGTGGATATAGTCCTATGGTCAAGGTATATCAGCACAAGTGTTTGATTAGGGGTCGGTCAACAGATCTTTTCCAGTTTCTAGATAAGGGTCCTCAAACTACGGCCCGCAGGCCACATGCGGCCCTCCGAAAACATTTATCCGGCCCGCCAGGCGTTTTTGCTGCCGCTGCCTGTCCTGCTTAGCAGCCGGCTTGTCCCGGCCCGCAGTGCGCATGTGTGGAATGTCTGAGGGACAGTGAACTGGCCCCCTGTTTAAAAAGTTTGAGGACCTCTGTTCTAGATGGTAACTTTAAAGAAATTGCAATGTTAATTAAACCTTATTTTTTCTCATGTGAATTGAATGCAATGCAGCTTAGAGGAATGGTCTTCAAATTGGGATGGGCATGTGCTCAAGGGTACTCATGAATAAATTTCTAGATCCTCTACTCTTAAAAAAGAGCCTGCATTCACAATATTTATCCTATCATTGATGAAAGAGGTTTTACCCTTCACCTATCACAAATCTTAGCGTATAATGCCTACTGGTACTTAACAATCTTAGGGCTCTTAACAGAGGCATAAATAAATTGTAGCTTACTTCAGGGGAACCTTGATTGGTTCTTAGACTTAATTCTAAGGCTCCTTCAATTTTTTCTAAGCTTGTCATGCACATATTTCTGATTCGGGTAAAACTTAATGTCAAACACTGGGTATTTGGGCCTTTATTGAGAGCCTGTAAATTGAAAAAAAGAGAAGTAGTACAATAAAATTTGTTATTGTAAATATAATTTGGTTATTTTGTGAATCTTCCAGATTATTGTGATATTTAATCAAAGTCTAGATAAAAATATACATAATTCATATCAATGTACTTTATTTAATAAAGTAGTTAAAGTTTTATGGACTCATGAAATTCAGGGTGTCCCCCCAAAAAATGTATACACACTTTGAATAATTATTAATTCAAATGAGTTAAATCTGTAAAGAAACATCAATTGAACTATCAGCTGTTAAAGTGTGTATACATTTTTAGAGGGCCACCCTGTATTTATTCACATTACAGTTAATCCTTATCCTATTTTATATAACAAAGTTTATAATATTTTTGATATCCTAAACTTAAGACATAAACATTTAAGCTAGTGGTTAAAAAATCAATTTCAAATATGCACATCAAATTATAGTTTTTCAAAGATCCTTTATATGACACATGAGCTAAAAAGTTTGAAGATCATTTGCTTTGAGAACCAGACAGTAGGCAGCTTGAATTCTTTACCTGATCTGTTAATAATTTGCCAAACAATGTTGTATAAAATCCTCATGAATGAGTCTCCGAAGAGTCTATCTGTCAAATTAACCTTTGGGAGTTGAGGATGTCTCTTATTCCTATGGTACTGATGATGTCTTAGTTCTTTGTCATCTAAGGAAGAATAAGTCTCTTATAATTGATACCAAATTTTTGGACTGGAATCGGATTTTTTGTCTGCCAGAATCGAAAAATGAATCCACAGGAAGAAAGAGGTATAGCAAAGGTGGAGATTTATTGAAGAACAAGTACAGACTCCCACGTGGGGAGAGGGAAGAGTTCCACAGAATGGACTCCCAAGTAGGGAGGGGGAAAGGGTCCCACTGAGTCCTCCCCTCCCCCCCATGGTTTATAAAGGCTACAGTTCCTGTGTCCTGATATCCCCTCTGATTGGTCAATATTCCCCTTCGAATTGGTTACTATAGTGATTCCTGAGCCCTCCTCCCTCATAGTCCTTCCATTCCTCTGGGCTTTCTTCTTTTCCATCGAATGAAGAGCTTCCTTCTGTTTATTTGCAAATATAGATCTTTCGTGGCTACTTCCAGTTCCTTTGTCCTATGGAAATATACTGTTGCTGCTTCCTTGTCCTATGGAAATATACTGTTGCTGCTTCCTTGTCTTATGGAAATGTAACTGCACCTGGCTTCCTTGTGTTATGGAAATGTACCTTCTCCCAGTCTGCAGCCCCTTGTTTTTTCCATGGACCCCAATTCTAAAAAATCCCTAAGCCTGACTATAGTCCCCCTAAAATTCCTGCTTCATAATTAAGAACTTACCTATTCCACAATTAGAGTGTCTAGAATATTGAATCTATTTTGACTTTCTGAATTTCAGTATTTTCACAATGATGTTCCTGACTGCTAATCTCTTTGTATTCATTGTATGGAAGTTCATTGAACTTTTTGGATGTGTAGATTAAAGCTTTTCTGCAAACTTTGGGAGAAAGTTTGGGACTTGATGCCTTAAAAATATTTTTCTACTCTCTTCACTCGCTTCTCCTTCTGTACTCCCATTTTGCATGTGTTTTTATATTTAAAACTAGAAGCCTGGTGCACAAAATTTCTGCACAGGAAGAGGGGGGTGGTCCCTCAGCCTGGTCTGCACCTTCTCACAATCCGGGACCCCTCAGGGGATGTCTAACTTGCTGGTTTAGGTGAGATCTTGCAGTTATAATCCTATCTAATAAAAGAGAAACATGGTAATTAGCGTACGACCACTACCCTTCCCATTGGCTAATCAGGGCGATATGCAAATTAACTGCCAGCCAAGATGTTGGCCGGCAGCCAGGCAGCTTGAAACTAACATGAGGCTTGCTTGCTTCAGTGATGGAGAAAACCAACATTCCCCGCCTGCCTTGCCATTTTCCGCCTGCCTTGCCGGCCTCTGAGCTTGCAGTTTGAAACATTGTTACAAATATAGAAGCTAAACAAACCCCCAGAAACCTGCTTTCAGCCTGCTGTGATCTCAGAGCTGGAGTTGATACAGTGTTTTGATTATAGAACCCAAACAAACCATATACCTGCTTTCAGCAGCAGAGGCCTCAGAGCTGGAGCCAGAGCTAAAGCTGGCCCAGAATAAAAAAAGAAAAAGAAAAAAAGGAGCAGTTGGGAGCTTCAGTCACCCCCAGCCTGAAAATAGCCCTCAGCCCCTCACCCAGACTGGCCAGGCACCCCAGTGGGGACCCCCACCCTGAAGGGTGTGTGACCAGCTGCAAACAGCCATCATCCCCTCACCCAGGCTGGCCAGGCACCCCAGTGGGGACCCCCACCCTGATCCAGGACACCCTTCAGGGCAAACCAGCCGGCCCCCACCCATGCACCAGGCCTCTATCCTATATAGTAAAGGGTAATATGCCTCCCAGCACCTGGATCAGTGGAGCCGTGAGGCCTCCCAGAACCAGGATCAGCGGAGCTGAGAGGCCTCCCGGCACCGGGATCAGTGTGACAGGGGTCAGTGCCCAAACCACCTGATCGCCTTGTGGCTCTGTGTGTGACAGGGGGCGGGGCCACAACCTCCCTATCTGCCCTGCTCTGTTCATGACAGGGGAAGGCGCCCCAACCTCCTGATCAGCCCTGCTCTGTGCCTGATAGGGAGGAGCTCCCCAACCCCCTGATTGCCCTGTGGCTCTGTGTGTGACTGGGTGCGGCGCCCCAACCCCCCCCCCCCCCATGGGCCCTGCTCTGTTTGTGACAGGGTAGAGCCATAACCTCCCCATTGGCCCTGCCCTGAGTGTGACAGTGGTGGTGCCCCAATCCCCTGATCGGCCCTGCTCTGTGGGTAATAGAGGGAGGCGCTCCAACCCCCTGATCCGCCCTGCTCTGTGCATGACAGGGGGCAGCAACCCAAATCCCCAATTGGCCCTGCTCTGAGCCCGACCAGGGGCTGCACCTAGGGATTGGGCCTGCCCTCTGCCACCCAGGGGCAGGCCTAAGCCAGCAGGTCGTTATCTCCCGAGGGGTCCCAGACTGCGAGAGGGCACAGGCCGGGCTGAGGGACCCCCCCCTCCTGCCCGAGTGCACAAATTTGTTATAATTATACGGAAAGCCCCCTTGGGGAGAGTGTCAGAGTTCTTGTTCTTAGCGCCTGCCTCTCCCATCGGCAAAGTCTTTACAAGCAAGGTTCTGGGCAGGCAGTGGTTTCTAGTCTCCTGACCTTGTCTCAATGTGGAACCTCCACCCTAGGAGCAGCTGGGGTGTGGGTGATTGAGTATCACAGTCCAATATGCCTGGGGTAGAACTTTCTTTCTTTGAAAGTGCCAGGATCAAGACTTTTACACCCATTTTATGACAGGGTTTGGTGCAATGCCTAACAAATCATTACTGAAGGTAGAAAGAAAAAAAGAAAAAGAAGTGAAAGAAGAAATCAATAAGCTTGTTTGCTCCCTAAATGAGTGTGTATAAGTACAACTGAAGAACTTAGATTGCTTTCCATGTGTTAAATAATGCATGATAAAACTCGATTTCAGTCATCCAAGAAAGGTTATGCTACCAAAGTTATAGAAACTTATTAAGAGAATAATTGTTACCTGTTCAAATTACAAAACGTCACAGCTGGGAACTCTATCTTTTCCACATACTGAACCTCTACAGACGTTGTGGTCGGCCATGTGAAGTAGTTGACCAAGCGACTGTAGATCTGCCATACCACCAGTGAGACGGAGCCCAAGACCACCACCAGCCAGATCACCTTGCGGATTTTGCTCCGGTTCCGAACAATATTATGTAGCCCATGAAAGGAAGTGGAGATGGCAAAGTCATGGTCAAACTTCTTTCGGTCAGTGGGAGAGGGCAGTGGTTTCTTTGAAAGCCAGAGCTTTATCTTTCCCAAGAGTCCTGAAGCTTTTTCCCATGCAATAATTAAATAATAACAACAACAACAAAGGAATGAGTTAGGAAACCTTGATGTTATCTGTAAAAAATACAACTTACATAAATGTAAACAGGTTACTCTTATGATGTGTGATACATACAGTTTCTTCTTGAATTGCATGGTCTATTCAGAAATCAAGAAGTAGCAGTATCGGCTACATGGGTGTAAGGAGAATACGCTAAAGCAATTCCTAGAATGCTTCCTGTGAAGGCAAATGTGCAAGTGCCATCGTATTTGTATGTGGTTGCTTGCAATTTCAAAATAAACTCACTTTGAATAGGTTGCTTACAACACATAATCTTTAACAGCGTATCACTAATTTTTAAAATTCTTCTCTGAAGAATCACAAAATCTCTTAGATGCCACAAACAAAATCAGGCTGATTCTTCTGCGCGTCGTAAGCGTGACTATGCTGGGGTATTGTAGGCTCATGTGCTCTGATACGTAACTACTTTACTTCAGTTGGCTACTTAGTTAAAATGTATAATGTTGCATTGTTAGTTAAGTAATATATTTTCTACCTCTTTAGAAAGTGAATTCATATTTTTAAGATTATCAATAATCAAATCATGTTTATTGATACTGATTGCTAAGGACCCAGTAAAGGTAGCCCTAAAATATTTATGGTAACATATAACATATTCAAAATTCCCCTTTGGTTTAATTTGTTTTTAACTTTCTGTAAAAGATGTAGAGGATTCTTTTGCTGAGAGAAAGTTTTCGTGTAATTCAGAGGATGAGATGGCCTTTGGAATGGACAGATCTGGTTTCTGAGCCAGATCGCACATCTTTCCATCTGTGCGACTTTAGCCAAATTTCGTAATCTTTCTGATACTTTGATCCTGGGCTGTCACATGGGAGCAATAGTCTCTGCCACCTGAGCTTGTTGTGAGTATTAAATAAGAACAACTTGGCAAATGACCTGGACCATGCTAATGTTAGCTATTTTTGTTCTTCTGTAAATTTAGTGGTGAGGTGGTAAATGATAACATTTTCATTTCAGAAAGGACTTCTTAATGGTCATAAATGCTTATAATTAGGTCAAATTAACTGTCATATGTTTTGCTTTAATTGAGGAAGTATTTTTTTGTAAACTAATCAGCATTAATATACTTCTAAAGGTTTTAGGTGTTAAAATTAAATTATTACATAATACTTCATAAGTCTCCAATCAATTACTTAAGCTTAAGTCATGAATATATGATAATACACACCTGAACATTTTATAAGGGACTCAAATTGATTGCAAAATGTTAGGACAAAATTAAAAATTATATTATGATTATTTTACAGAGACTATACACTGACCAGCTTGAATTTTAACTAAAACTTAGAGTAGCCTCACTTACTGTTGTTAATATCAAATTAGGTTATATATGTATATATTAATTGTCACAGTCCCAAGGAAAAATCAGACATATGAGAAAAACTATTATTCTTATTATGCATTAGCAGAATAAATTGAGTAATGCCCTTTGGTGTATTATTCAGCCACCAGTTACAAACACATATGAAGAGTCAACTCTGATAGAAGTACAACTATCTCCGGGCATCTGACAGTAGTCTTCCTACCACAGGGACCAAAGCTGTTAAAAGGAAAGATTAATCTAGGAACCAGTAACTGGCCAAGCTAAGTATTGCTGGGTGCAAGCATTACCCTAAAAATATATTTCAACTTTATCTGTCAAAAATTAGCACACTTACTATAGATCTACTATTGGACACTTGCTTTGGCTGTACTGGAGTATTCTGTTTTTTGCTAGGGTTTCAAATGACCTTTTAAAAGTATTATTTGAGATGAAGAGTGAAGAAACAAGATGATGTGTCACTGTGAGGAAGATCAGAATTGGTTTAGTAAACGGCCCATCAGCCTACAAAGCAGGAACCAGCCTACTTTCCTGACTGAAACGTACACTCTGTAATTATGGCAAATGGCCCGTGCCATGAATACTGATCTTATGGAAACATTTGGAGGATCATCAAATGAAATTTTTTTTCTGTATTTTAAAAATAAAACTGGTAGACACTTGATAAGCAGAGAAAACAAAACAACAAAAAACAACAAAATAAAACAACAATAAAGATTCATTCTAGTATACAATATTTTACAACTATTTTTGACTTCCTCATTCAAAGTATCCCTAAATAACCCAAACTGTATTGCTTGTATTATATTGAGGTAAATATTGGAAAGCACATTTACCAAATGAAAAAAAAAAATGCCCCTTTCTCTTTGCTAATTTCTAGCCTTAAAAATGAGAATTACAACTTTTCTCACAATTTACTCTTTACCCACCTTTCTCAGCATAGACTTTTGTTTTCTCCGTCTGCTCCATTTGTCATTTCAGTAAGCAGGAGTCCTAGGGAGTATATCCAGTTTTCATTAATAACCATGTTCCTTTTGTGGCCTTTATATTAAATACAGCAGTTGAGGTTGTAAAAACCGTGGGGGCAATTTAAATGTTTGTGTTGCTATGTTTTGCCTCAGAAAGCATATAATTTGCAAACCAAAAAAATACTGGCAGAAGCAGCTATGTGCATTTATGGACTGATGAGAGGCTGTCATAGAGTGAAACAAACAAACAAACAAAAAGAATTTGGAAACAAATTTACCCATAATTGGAGACAATCTTTACAAACACCTGTGGTTTTAAACTATCCCTGACCAGGCAGCCCCCTTAGACTTTATTTCCAACTCTCTGTGTATACAAGTTTGAATCAAAATGCAGTTGGAATGAAATCTTGGGGGTACAGATGTCTTGGTGGAAGTTTTTCAGTATCAGATGAAGCAATTTCAAAACAGAAATAGTAATCAGTAAAGATGACAAAATAAAATACCAGAAAACATCTCCACAAGAAGAAATGATTGCTAAAAGCATAAAAATTCAATAAAGTACAAAGTCTAATTAGGTGTTCATATTAACACTTTTGAGAAATTATGATTATTTTTATATTAAATTATAAGCTGGAAAATATGCATTATTGTGTATTAACAACTCCATCTCTTGGCCAAACTGAGGAATTGCATGCATTTCTATTTCAGCCTCTTAGAGTTAACCATGGTAGTATTTTATCCACTAACCATTCATATGACTACATATATTTTATGTCATTTCCTTGGTATTATAAGTTGAAACTAATATTGTAGAGAGGCAAACTAAGAAATTTCAAGGGGTTTAAATGAAAATATAGTTGGATCCAAACGGTGTAACTGGCAGATGGAATAAATTAAGGTTACCTGCTGAGGTGGCTATAGCCTTTTCTTATGAATATTTTTGGAGAAGACAATATTATAGAAAGTATGCCTAGTTTGGGGTAAGAGTGCTTCTATAGTTGTTTGTACTTACGACACAACAACTTATTTTTCCTCTTTTTTCCACTTCAGTCTGAGGAGTTGAGGATGGTAAAGATAGGAGGGCTTTAAATGGCTCTGAGGGCTGCATTTCTGGTTTTACAAAGATTTGAAACATCAGGACACAACTCCCAATTCCTTAAATGATATCATACGCTGACCTGCCTGTTCAGCTACATTTATCCCTAATTTGCTTCTTTCCCTCTGGGTACATAATTTTATTTTAGGTACATCTTATTTTCTAATTTTTTTTATAGCCGTTTGCAACAAATCTTTCAATGAAGCTATAAAAATTGTATGTTCTTCAGCATAGCCAATTAATATTTTTAAAAGAGTAGATATATATGCCTTCTATCTTATAATATTAGGTATGGAGTGTTCCACAGTGAGGCTATTTACTTCATAGAAAGCCTGTTCAAAGTACACCACTTTGCCTATGAACTTTTACCTCAATTCCATCGACTCTTCCATTCCTATCTACAGTCTCTGATAGGACTTTATCAACAGGTTTTGGTTTTACAATTCTGGGTAGAAGAATTGTTTTAGGTCCAACATAATATTCATTCTCATAAAACATTCAGGTAAACGTAACATAGCATCTTTATAGGAAGCTTGTTTCCATAATTGTATCAATCCTTACATTTTAATATATATTTTTAAAACTAATTGTAGCCTGAGTCAGGTCTTCACCAATGGGTTTTGGTACCACAGTTCATGGAATTCCCATGGCAAAAGGTTCTGGACACTTCTCTTTTTTTATTCACAGACCCTTTTACCCACTTGTGTAAAACAAACACACAAATGATAAAATATATGTAGTCACGCCCTAACCGGTTTGGCTCAGTGGATAGAGCGTCAGCCTGCAGACTGAAGGGTCCCAGGTTCGATTTCGGTCAGGGGCATGTACCTTGGTTGCAGGCACATCCCCAGTAGGGGGTGTGCAGGAGGAAGCTGATCGATGTTTCTCTCTCATGGATGTTTCTCTCTATCCCTCTCCCTTCCTCTCTGTAAAAATATCAATAAAAATATATTTAAAAAGAAAACAAAAACAAAAAACAAAAATAAAAATATATGTAGTCATATGGTTTGGGTCTCCAGCAAGGGTTCATCCAGAGACCCAACCTCTTTGTCAACCTTTAACTTCATAAACTGGCCTGCCCCAAGAGCTTGCTGATGAGGTTTCTCATTGGAATCTCTGCTTTCCCATTTCTTCAGACCAGCCTAAGTAGAGCAGACTTGTTTGGGGCCCTTTAAGGCTAGAGGATCAACAAAGGGTCATTTTGGCCCATCCAGCCTTTGCTAGTGCTATTAAAACATTTGTTTTAACTGCATCAATCACTGATTTATTTACCACCACCACCCCTTTTTTTAAATGACCATCTAAGGATTTTGACTCTGCTGGGAAGAGTCCTGTGACTTTCCTTTCTGCTTCCTCTTTGTTTCACCCTGTTTAAAAATAAGTATCTGATTCTGTTTAATTTGGAAAGCCTTGCTTTTGAGTGAACTTTTATTATATTTTTGTTGTTGCTAATCTTCACCTGAGGATATTTTTTTTTCCCATTGCTTTTTCAGAGAGAGTGGTAGGACCTCAGCTATAAATGGAGTTTAGCCCACGTTTGCTTTTCAGAGAGAGTGGAAGGGAGGGAGGGAAAGGGAGAGAGACAGTCGGACACCCTCGAAGGCTTCCGGACTGCGAGAGGGCACAGACTGGGCTCAGAGACTCCCCCCTGAGTGCACAAATTTAGTGTGCCAGGCCTCTAGTAACAAGATAAAAGGAGAGACACCAGACAGAGAAGGAAAAAACAGAATTAACAAAACTCATGAGTTCTCATAGCAAATAAACCAAAGTTGCTAAGCCCAAGAACCTCATTTCATAAATATTTTATCCTTTTAATCTAAATTAAGGAAAGGGGGTGTGGGGTGTGGGGGACTTTCACTAATGTGCTTCCACCAAATTCTGCAGGTAAAGATCTGGGAGTCTGGCTTGGCAAGAATTCTTGCTTTTGCCAGCTCATGCTAGAGGTCTCATGGTCTTTCTACTGTAGCAGCTTTGAAGTGAGCAGTGCCTGGCTGGTAAGATATCCTCCTCACAGCAACAACTGTAGGAGTGGAAGACATTCATCTACCCTCAAGGTTCTCTCAGTTGGTCTAATAGTCAAATAGACATGAAACAGATTAACAAGAGAAAATTATCCAATTTAATTACATGCCTATGTATGGGAACCTCATATACATGTGATAGTCAGAGATCCCAAATGCATAAGAGATCCAGAGACAGAAAAGAAAAATGAGGTATTAATGACATTCTGAGCTAAGGATGAGGTAAGATGCCTTGGGGCTTCAGAGTGAAGGATGGTCATTTCAAGGTAAGAGCACATATGTACTAATTATAAGATGGCCCTGCTCTATAGATATGTTACTAGAAGTTATTTCTGGTGATTACTCCTACTATGGGCAAGGCCCGTAATTTAAATTCTTTAAGGGAGAGGTAGAAGTTTCTCACAAACCCAGGTTATGGATTCTCTCCAGCTCAAAATAATTCACATGCCAAAGTGACACACTGTCTGAACCCCTGTTCAGGAAAATGTCGCATATCTGTGACATCATCATTAAGAAATGTATATTCAATATACATGAATATATCCTAATTACTTGTGTATTCTGAAAACCCGTTCCCGGCTGGTGTGCTTTGGACAATCTGCTAATGAGTTTTTCACTCCAATTCTCTGCCAAGATCTATGACTGGCTCAGTCTGCCGGAGGTTTCTGTTTGTCACTCAGCTCCAGTAATGTTATCAGCAAAACACAGTATTGAAAGTGTTCCTGACATTGGTAAAGGCAGGGGGAAGGGCTCCACTAATGCTTAACTTGTAGGCACAGAAAGTTACAAAATTATGTCCCCATATAGCACATGACATCATGAGCCAAGGTTACCTGGGCAGGAACACATTATCCAAACATTCCATTTGCAATTTTATGGCTATGTCTGTGTTCTCAACTCAGATCTCTTATCTCTTTGTGCAATAGATCATTCGTGAGAAATTCACCCGCCTTCCAATTACTAAGAACAAAAATATCGATTTGCTATTATCTTCATATCTTTAGGGATATTCTATAGGAAGGCTATCACTTAGGTGCTTAGTGCATCTTACAATAAAGAAAGCAAAAGAAATAAACAGCAAACAACTCAAAGATAGCAAAATTTCTTTTTTAAAAAATATATTTTTATTGACTTCAGAGAGAGGAAGAGAGAGAAAGATAGAAACATCAATGAGAGAGAATCATTGATTGGCTGCCTCCTGCATGCCCCTCACTGGGATCAAATCCGCATCCCAGACATGTGCCCTGACCGGGAATTGAATGGTGACCTCCAGGTTCATAGGCTTATGCTCAACCGTGGAGCCAAGCCATCTAGGCCAGTGGTTCTCAACCTGTGGGTCGCGACCCCTTTGGGGCTTGAACGACCCTTTCACAGGGTCTCCTAAGACCATCGGAAAACACATATATAATTACATATTGTTTTTGTGATTAATCACTATGCTTGAATTATGTTCAATTAGTAACAATGAAATTGGGGGGTCACCACAACATGAGGAACTGTATGAAAGGGTCGGGGCATTAGGAAGGTTGAGAACCACTGATCTAGGCAAAGATAGCAAAATTTCAAAAGTGAACATTTGAGACACAAATCATGAGGGATAACAATATAATTTATTAAAAAAATTTTTTTCGGAGAACCAAGATGGCGGCATAGGTTAACGCCGGAGTTTGCTGCTTTGAACAACTACTTCAAAAGTGAAACCAAAAAACGGAAGGGACATCACCCAGAACCACAGGAACGCTGGCTGAGTGGAAGTCCTACAACTAGGAGGAAAGAGAAACGCATACGGACACTCAGAGGAGGCACAGTGCTGAAGTCAAATTCTGAGGTGCGGAGTGCGCGGAGCGGGCTGGCAGCGGAGGGCACGGTTGGCGTTTTCAATCA